ATTGCAAAATCGTAAACTGCTATACGGTTTTTCTATTCAATATAACATGTTTAGCCTATGAAATGTTTATTGAAAATCTTGGGACACTCTGTAGAAAGTACACAACTGTTTTCTTAACTGTATGAGAAACTGTATGAGAAATATTGCCTTAATAATAATATGTTAAGTACCTTATCGAGAAGGTATCTCTCTAAAAACACTGCAAATCCTTCATTTAACCATAAATCGGACCACCAAGATGGAGTGACCAAATTGCCAAACCATTGATGTACAAGTTCATGCGCTACTAATGACGCTATACCTGTCCTCCGAAATGTAGGATCTGTGTTATTATTATACATAAGGATCTCTTCACTAAAAGAAAAAACATAACGTGATGTATAAAATATGATTAGGCAAAATGATTTTGTCACATGTAAACATAAAGATGTATGGATACTATATCGTGAATATCTATAAAATATAAATACTTTTTAATTGTAAAATTAACTAAAATTAACATTAATTAGACTTTCATCTTTTTTAATTGTATATATTACCTGTAAATGATAAGTCCCCAATTTTCCATGCCTTTGTTTAGAAAAGAAGGTATCGTTACGTGATCCATTTTCGGAACTTGTCTTGAAATATTGGTATATCGAATCAAGAACTGCTCGACTTTTTCGGCAACGCTATGCGCGAATTCTATTTGCGATATCATAGACGATTTACCCCACATATTGACGGTTCCATCCGCATTGGAAACACGAACATAATCAGACAACACGATCGCCACGAGATAAGTGGACATTATTGGGGTGGTGTTGAAATGTGTCCACATCATCCCATCTTCGTCCACGTTCTGAGCACGTATCGGCATATTTGACAAAGCCTTATATTTCTGATGATGCTTTACAGAGATGTTAAAAGTAGCTTTCAATGCAGGCTCGTCCCAAGATGGAAATATTCGTCTGGCCCCGATTGGTTCCAACTGCGTAAAAGCCAACCTAATTTATTAACAAAATGGTTTAGATAAATTTATCATTAATATTGTACAGAATGAAAAATTAAAAAAAAAATTAAATTATTATCTCCTCTTTTATATATAAAAAATGTTATTTTAAGAAATAAAAATAGAAACGCTGAATACAGTTGTACTGCTTTTTATTTTAAAACTGTAACGCTATATTGTATGTATATTGTATTATTATTTTAATTATATTAATATATTAAAATATAATTATATGATTTTATGTTTTTTATTTAGTGTTTTTATTTAATTTTATTTTTTATGTAGTTTAAAGTCTTTGATTGAAGAGAAAAACGATAAAAAAACAATAAAAAAGAATAATAATTTATATGTACGTTGCAAATATGTTGTTATATTTACTTACATTTTATTTTCTCCTTTGTCTGTATATGATTTTATAATAAAACCACTATTCTCAGTGTCAGATATATTACCAGCAAACTTCATGTTCAATTTGTAAAGATCAAGCGATAATTCTTCATTAAATTTCAACGTTAAAATGTCCGTTTTGTTGTTATAAATATGTTCAATTGGTTTATAGATTATGTCATTTTTTATCAATGTCGTCGCCGTTTCATTTATTTCTAAATCATGCATATGCAAACTTATATCTATTGTTGCAGAACAAATTCTGATATTGACACTGGTTTCACCACAAAAAGTAAAATTATCTTCTTCGATGTACATTGTCAGTTTGATATCATAATGTATTGGTATTATGTTATTGGGTAAACGATAATCAATTTTTTTATTTGAGTCCCTTTTTGAATCATAAGCAGCATTAGCTATTGTGACCAATATTAGGCCGACACTTAAAAGTAGTCTTAGAAATTTCATTTTAATTTCTTCTTTAAGTATCTATATTTTGTGTAAAAAAAATATTAATATATTCTAGTTCAAAATTAGAATACACAAATCTAATTTTTTATATAAAAGTAGAAAAATGGATTAAGTTAATTTCAACAGTTTTATTAAGAACACACATGTGAGAATTATTTAAAGAGCAATATGAATGTTTTGTATATTTAATACTTACATACCTTTTATGTAATTGAAATTATATATAACCCAATTAATATCTTGGATTAAATTTAAGAATTCTTTGAGAACTTAAGAATAAATAATCATCGTAGTTGTTGAATCGAAATAATGAACCGGAAAAAATGGTAACTTAGCTTATTTCAGTTTCGCGGAGAAAAAAAAGGAAAACGTCTATTCGCGATCGCGATCAAAACAAGAAGACGACGAAGGGCAGTGTCCCTTCGTGAATATATCGGAGTTGTCGCGGGGGTGGGCCTTTAGTTTTATAATATAAAAGATTCTTTCAGTTTTTCGACGAATGAGATATTAGCGGTTGTTGAGGATATGGAGGGGAATTAGCCTATCTTGCCCCCGACTCTAAAAAAAAACAAATCTTATTGGTAAGGAAAGAATTTTAAAATGATGAGGTTGAGGGCCTGAGTCTTCCCGAGCGGGTATAGCGGCCTCAAGTCTAACGCATTGGGTAGGTGGTGGGAGTTATAAACAATGTGTCGCCACGATGGCAGTTCTGCGAGTACGAGACTTGATTTGAGAAAAACCAAACATTTACTCTTGGCAGTGTTATGACTCTCCATCGTCGCCAGTACACCAAATGTTTCCTTATGTTTAGGCATAACTCGCATATAATTGTTAACAATTATTTAGTTCGGTTACAGTTCTGTCAGACTTTATAGTTTATTAGTTTAAAAAGTGAGTCCTCAACGGTCTGAGGTTCACGTGTTCGGCATCCACGGAGCTTGAGCTCTTGAGAAATTATTTTAATTTATTATTCGAGCTGACTTTTACGATGTATCGGAGCTCGCGCAATCATTTTGTAAAAAAAAAAGAATCATGGAGTCCACTGGACGTAATATGTTTTATTTTTCTGAAGAAACTTATTCAAAATACCTGCTACGTGTCACTAGAAATTATAAATTAATGTAAATGTTATATTAATTCGATATTTATAAAGAAATACAATTCATATACAGACAAACACATGTTATTGTATATTAAGATATATATGATTTATAACACGAGAATAATCCGAACATAACTTTCATTAGAAATCAAAGTAAAGCAACAAAACAAAGAAAAGCGGGGAGGAAGAAGGATCTGACGCTATGAATAAAATTATAAAAAAAAAAACATTACGTAACTATTAAGTAGCAAAATGGAAAATATAATATAAGAAAATAAACTGAAAAGTCGATTGTAAAACATTTACATAGATATAATATATAATTTTATTGTATAATAGAATTATTGTATAATATAAATACAATACATGTAATAATGCTTTTCATTTTTATAATATTTATTATTGCGTACCTTAAAGGATTCACTTTCTGGTATAGTAAAATATTGTAATAATTGTGTTAAAATTTCAAACATTGGATACCATGCCACTTAATTTGTTTCACGTGACAAATAATTTATAATACTGAAGAATATAGACAAAGAATATAGCATTGTTCATTTGCCATTCAAAAGGTAAATGCATCATTGTTAATTTGATTGAAGACATGAATTTTCGTATATTCTTCCGAATTTAAATAACGTACAATCCTTTGCCAATTTGTGTAATCATAATTGACACGATAATAAATATGAAATATTATTCATTATATTTATCATTATATAATTTTAATTAAATTTATACTAACATATAACATACTTATATAATATATTTCGTAATTATCGATATTTCGTATTTCTAAATATAAAGCATAAGAAAAAGATATAGTATACATAATATGAGATGTAGAACTAATACTATTATAGAACAATATAAAAAACATGTAATGATAAAGATTAATAAATATATTAATTTATAATAAAAATTAATTTGAACAAGCTAAAGTTTTTTACAAATTTTAGATGTTTATCGTGAATGATGTAAAATAAATAATAACGTATATATACTATATATAATATTTTATATATATATATATTGATAGATAGATACTTTTTAATAAATTAATTATGTATATATATATATATATATATATATATATATATATATATATATATATATATATATATATATATACTAC